TTGCCTGAACCCAGGAGGCGGAGGTTGCGGTGAGCCGAGGTCGCGCAATTGCACTCCAGCCTGGGTAACAAGAGCAAAACTCCGTCTCAAAAAAAATATATATATATATATTAAATATAAAGACGGGGTTTCACCATGTTGGTCAGGCTGGTCTTGAACTCCTGACCTCAGGTGATCCGCCTGCCTTGGCCTCCAAAGTGCTTGGATTACAGGAGTGAGCCACCATGCCTGGCCAAAAGCTTTGTTAAGAACTGTAGTAAAGCCCTCTTAAGATGATAAGGCAAATTTATTTATTTTCTTTTTCCTAAGGAAAAAGAAATGATGTCTGTGCCACTTTTAGTAATTTTTTTTCTCTTTTTCATTACCTCCCTCCCACCCTGCCTTCTTACTCTCATACTCTCTGTTGGTATATCCACTTGAATGGGATAAGACATGAAGAAGGAAAAATTATTTCAGACGAATATTTACATTGTGTAAGAAATTAGTCTAGGAAGGAAATTGAAGAAATATTCTGCTCTCAATAACATACGACACCGGGAGGCCAAGGCAGGAAGGTCATTTGAAGCCAGGAGTTAGAAACAGCCTGGGCAACAAAATGAGAGCCTATCATCTCTACAAAAAAATTAAAAATTAGCCAGGTGTGGTGTTGTATGCCTATAGTTCCAGCTACTAAGGAGGCTGAGGTGGGAGGGCTGCCTGAGCCCATGAGCTCAAGGCTGCAGTGAGCTATGATCTCACCCCACACTCCAGCCTGGGTAATAGAGCAAGACCCTGCCCCTAAAAAAATTAATTTTAGGCCAGGTGCAGTGGCTCACACCTGTAATCCCAGCACTTTGGGAGACTGAGGCAGGTGAGTCACGAGGTCAGGAGATTAAGAACATCCTGGCCAACCTGGTGAAACCCCATCTCTACTAAAAATACAAAAATTAGCTGAGCATGATGGTATATGCCTCTAGTCCCAGCTACCTGGGAGGCTGAGGCAAGAGAATCACTTGAACCTGGGAGACCGAGGTTGCAGTGAGCTGAGATCGCACCATTGCACTTCAGCCTGGTGACAGGGCAAGACTCTGTCTCAAAAATAAATGAAAATAAATAAATTTAACAATAATAATATACAACAGTTTCATTGTTAATGTATCTATTAGAATAGTTTCAATGTTAATATGGTTCCTGCCACTTTCACATATCCACACATTTGTTCCTCCCTTTAGTTAGCATGTATTTAGAGATTTAAAATTATTTTTTGTATTAATAAAATTTAGTAAATATATCTAAATTCGGGTATAGTCTGGGCACAGTGGCTCACACCTATAATCCTGACACTTAAGGAGGCCAAGGCGGGCGGATCACTTGATGTTGGGAGTTCAAGACCAGCCTGGCCAACATAGCAACATGGTGAAACCCCGTCTCTACTAAAAAATACAGAAATTAGCCAGGTGTGGCGGTGGGTGCCTTGTAATCCCAGCTACATGGGAGGCTGAGGCATGAGAATCACTTGAACCTGGAAGACAGAGGTTGCAATGAGCTGAGATGGTGCCACTGCACTCTGGCCTGGGAGACAGAGGAGACTCTAACTCGAAATAAATAAAAAAAACAGATAAATTGCTAAATAAATAAATAAATTTAGGTATAAAGAACTTAGATCTTTGGAATATTGAAACTGCTGCTTTCCCTTCTGAAGAATTCTGGATTATCAATTATTGAATTTCTCCAGTGCCATATTGCTAATTGAAAACTATCTGGGAGAGGCCAGTTCCTGGTGGCTGTTCTTGGTATTGTCTTTCAACATGTCTATAAATCCACTATCCTTAGCTTTTGCAGAGGGAGAACACCAGATTGCTCAGTTACATGGGTCTGGATTTTAATTCTTTGCCGTATCAAGTACCTACTTCAGATGAAGGAGGCGCAGGACAAAATCCAGGACTTGTCTATGGAAACCCATATTCTGGTAAGACAACTTTCCCATTCTAACTGGAAGGACCCTGCCTGCATCCCTTTCCCCTACTCAATTTTTGTTTCTGAGATGCTAATTAAGACCAGTCTCATTGTTAAGACTTGCTGGGCAGAAGCTGAGGACCCAATAGAAAGATTGCCAGGCGAGAAGTGTTAATTGAGAAATAAATCTGAATCCAGAAGACACAAATCAGAGCATTCGCCTAGAGGCAGCAGACACAAATTGAGTCCCGTGGCTATATTCCAAATGTGTAAATCAGGGAAATGTCTTTATGCAGAAGATATACACACACAAAGCTGAGGAAGCTAATTAAGGTTTTGAAATGGTAGCAAGAGAGGCAAGTTATGCCGCCCAGGAACGGGTGATTACAGCAGCCACCCTGATGGCCTGACCAAGGGCAGCAGAAACAGGCTCCACAGAGACTTCTCGGTGATAGGACAGGAAATGGGGGTCAAAGGATTTGGGGTAACATGTCCTTGCCAAATAGAGAGCTTTTCTCACTTGCCTCCAAAAGCAATATGAGATCTCATTTGCTTTTTTGAGCAGTTTAAAGCAGCAGTATTATCTTTAGAGTCACAACCAGAAGTTTATAACAGACAATGAAAGAAGTTTATTTTTCTTTAAAAATATGTTTGTGGCTAGCTGGGATTACAGGCGCCTGCCACCATGCCCAGCTAATCTTTGTATTTTTAGCAAAGACAAGGTTTTACCATGTTTGCCAGGCTGGTCTTAATCTCCTGACCTCGTGATCCGGCCGCCTGGGCTTCCCAAAGTGCTGAAATTATAGGCATGAGCCACCACACTCAGCCCAGTCTTGTTTTTACATATAATTTTTTTTTAATTCTCTCTAGTTTTTTTGTTTTGTTTTTGAGACAAGGTCTCCCTTGGTTGCCCAGGCCAGAATGCAGTGATACTATCTTGGCTCACTGCAACATCCCGGGCTCAAGCAATCCTCTCACCTCAGCCTACCAAGTAGCAGAGACTACAGGCACCAGCCACCATGCCCAGCTAATTTTTGTGTTTTGTGTAGAGATGGGGTTTTACCATGTTGCCCAGGCTGGTTTCGAACTCCTGAGCTCAAGCAATCCACCCACCTTGGCCTCCCAAAGTGCTGGGATTATAGGTGTGAGCCATTGCACCTGTCCGTGGATACAGTCTTAAAATCTATTCTAAGACTGTCATTAAATTGTTACTATTTTTCAGGCCTGGCGCGGTGGCTCAAGCCTGTAATCCCAGCACTTTGGAGGCTGAGGCGGGTGGATCACAAGGTCAAGAGATCGAGACCATCCTGGTCAACATGGTGAAACCCCGTCTCTACTAAAAATACAAAACATGCCGGGCGCGGTGGCTCAAGCCTGTAATCCCAGCACTTTGGGAGGCCGAGGCGGGTGGATCACGAGGTCAA